TTCGCAGTTGTAAATATTTGGGGACAAATGAGCATGTGGCTCACCTGATGGTAAATGACTACTGCTGCCCATGAACAACCACAATACCAGCGAATTGCAGATGTGTTGCTGGCCTTTTAGAAAAGAGTAAGCTCTTTTCTTGAAGTAGTAGTAGTAGTAGTAATTAGTAAGTATCGGTCCGAAAAAGATCCACAGAGAAGTTGTACAAGGAAAACTCCTATAGTCAACCAAATCTAAGAAATACCTTTTGACATTTCACATTAATCATTCCACAATAACTTTGCACAAGCATACTCACACAATTTAAAATAACCTTTTACATAAATCCAAAGAACTTTGAAATTATCTATATTTCATTACAACATTTATAGTTTTTTATCATTAATTTAAATTCGAATCTTTCAAACAAAGCAAAATATTAAAAAAATAACTAGTATCAACTGTTTTACTTGACGTCATTTCAATGATATATCGCTATGTACGTTACCATAGTGTTTGCATGATTAAAATTGATTGTTATGCGATAATCGGCAAAAATATTCAAAAAATCGAATCATTATTTTTTTATGTATTATTTGTATAATTAAATTTTTATTTTTAAAATTCCTTAAATTACATGAATTATGGATAAAACAAGTTTATTTTTTGCCTTGTCAACGTAAATTTGTGTAGGCAAAATAAAACAAAGGCCGCGCTGAAAAAACCACGACGTAATTTCAATCTCCCGCCATTTCGGGGGCTTACCATGTGTAATTTTGTGATTTTATGTTTGTGTTCTTATTTTGTGACTCTGCTTTAACTTTTTGGACTGTTTCTTCTATATTCGTTGAAGCATGTGCCCATGTCACAAATAATGGTTGGACAAGTGTTAGAAAAATTAAAAAAAATTGATTATGGATGACTTTAAAGGAGACATTAATTTTGACTGCATTATTGATAATCAAATAATAATTAATCTAAATAACGACGACGAAACAAGTTGTACTGAAAGTGATTGAATAAATATATTTTTAATATGGTTGCAATCTTAAATTTATATAACTTTGCCTGTAGCAAAATGCAGTAACAACAAATACGTTGTGTTTTAAATTATCCGTTTTTAATTTATTCTGGTATTATTCAAACCAAACTTATTACCAACTCTAAATAATTGATATAGATTTTTTTAAGAATCGAATATTCTACATTCCCATTTTTTGGTTGGCATGCTTGGTGCAATAAGTCTGACAGCTGTCAAAATATATTTCTTACATTTGGTTGACTATAGCTAACTATAACATACAGTAGTGGACCGCCAAGCATCCACATGGTGAGAATGGTATGGGGAATTTTAACGTGATGTGCATTTGTAAAATTTGACGGCTAGAACTAATCCAAACAATTCCTCAGAATACTTCCCATCATAGATACAATAGAAATTGCAAAGGGATGTAACATCCCTACACAGCGCTAGTGAATCTAGCTGATCAGAAAGAACTCGATTGTCGATGAATCGAATTGCTCTCGGCTGGATCTGGGCAAGTGGAAGAAGCTGGCACTGGGGTGCCCCAACTAAGAGACGAGAACAGTATTCCATGTGAGGCCGAAATTGCGCTTTGTAAAGTTGCAAGCGATGTGCCGGCATGAAATACTGTCTCGCTCTGCTGAGCACGCGAAGCTTTTTAGAGGCCAATTTGGCCTTCCCCTCCAAGTGACCACGAAACTGCACACTATTCGATATGTCGACGCCGAGGATTCCGATGCTAGTTGAGGCAGCAAGGGGAATGCCTTCAAACTGAGGAGATACGACAAAGGGTTTCTTTTTCAAAGGAGTGCTCTAGTTCAGAGCTGATTCAGCTGATGTTCTTACGAACTGCTCCACAGTTACTTTCCACAACATTGTGGAGAATGAAGAGCCTTCATCATTTAAGCATTACTGCCATCCCTTTATAAACATTTTTGCCAAGTTGGCCATTTCCCTTTGTTTTTGATGACTTGACCCGCGACACTCTAATTGCACAGCAATCTTTAGACTTGTGAACTTAGCGTAAAGCAAATGGAATGGGAAATTCTACACTAAATTAGACACTTCATTGTCGCCAAATATTACAATAATGTTACAGCCTATATACGTCCGTCCAACAGCTGGGCACATGCCTCCTCTTATTTCTGAGAGAGTTTTTAGGGCAAGGAAATGTCTGCCGCCCTGTCCATAATACATGTTGACGAACTTCACCTGTCTTCGAAATATTTTTTTTATTCTTATTTCTCAGGCATGCAGGCTTCCTCACAATAATTTTCTTCACCGCTGGGCACATAGTTAATCAGCACTTAAAATTGCAATTCGTTTGTGCTGCCGGGGTTGAACCTGGGTTGCTTAGCCACTGAGCTACCATAACACAAATTTCAAAGTAAACTACAAATTTAGGATGTATTGCTGGATGCATGTTAGTTGCAGATAGTACAGACAAGAGTATTATAGATGTCTTGAATTTTCATTGTTCTAGCTAAATATTTTTTTTTTCAATGAAATTCTTTGATCTTTTGGGGTGCGAGGCCCTTTGGGCCGAGAGGCCGTAGGCAGTCGCCCATGCCTTGCGCCGTCTATGATTATTAGTATTAAATTTTGTAAGATCACAAAGTTATCTATCGTTACTACACTTACTTGTGTGCATCAGCAGGATTGATAAATGTTACAAATGCATATGTCGGTTTCGGAGTTCTGTTTGGTCCTTTATCCCCCATTCGTAGCCAGCAGCTCTTGATAAATCCATATTGAGCAAAAACACCGAAAAGTTCCGCCCGCGTGGTCTAAAACATGTGTGAATAATTTATATTGATTAAGAAAACGTTCCGTTATAAAAAATACTATTAAAGTACCTACTTTTGGGGGTAAGTTGGACACATAAAGCTTTCTGATAGGTATGCCATCTTCTGTATGCGTTGGTATATTCCTTACACCAAATGATGCATCAAAATTTGAACTGAGAGCAACTGAAATCAACCATAAAACAGGTACATACAAATTAACAAATAAATATACTAACAGCAATAACGGTGACACCCTAGATACATACGGAGTTCTTGACTAACGACTTGAAATAATTCTCGCTGGGCAAGGTTGCGTTCTTCATTGTCGAAAAACATGGCGAATAAATATAAATACTATAGCAGGTAAGCCTTCAAATTTGTTCGTTACTAAAATCCCAACATGAGAGAGTTAAAATAAAGCTATACTCGGATAATTTTGAAAAAATTCTTTAAAATTGATAATTGATAATATCAAATACAAATCCTATCAACATTGATCAACATAAACCACAGACTAATACAAATCCTAGTATATACACAGTAATCTATGTACAAATCATAGATGAATAGATATGTAGCAAATTCACGAATTCAAATCTTATAGACAAATCAACGGTTGCGATGATAGATTATTCATAATTTTCATTAGTATTATGACAATGGACTCTACGGATGTAGACGGATCTAGTATGAAGAGATAGGAAACCATTTCTTCCCCACTAACATAGAGGTTAGAGAACAGGAGAACGATCGCTACGTGCTAAAGCATAGCCCGCCTGTTCCTAAAAAATTGTAGAATTTATAGTCGCCCTGCTGTCGGTAAGTGAAATCTGCGAAGTAATTTTTTAATTATTGACAAAAAAAAAACATTAAAAATAGTGAAATAATATAAAACAAAAAAATAATTAATCATTTACATTTGTAATAATTTATAATAATTAAAATTATAAAAAACATAATTTATAATTTATTTATTAACAAATAATAATAATATTAATAAAATACAAGCTGCACTTAGTTTTGGATCCGAAGCTATCTGTGTTCTTTTCTCTTCTTCTCTTTATACTGTCACTTATTGTTAAGATAAATAAATAAATAAATGTCTTATTTTTTTGAAAATAAAAAAATTAGTTATTTTCTTTTTTCTTCTTTGAATAATAATATAATCATTTTAAACTAGCGCACAACAGCCCGTTTTTATTGAGGTAACTTAGCGATCGCAGCGCCTCTCTTATTTTGTCCATATTTCTGGGACACTTTTCTACAGCGGTCGTTCTCAATTTCTCTAACCTCCATGCGCACTAAAGTCGTATTTTTATTAAACCAAGCTGCCTGACGTTTACTGGGTTGTCAGCACGGAAGTATCGACAAACTGGAACCCACACTCTTAATATCAACATTAGCAATAACCAAATGACCTCAAATAACCCCTGTTTTCCCTACAGGATAGCCAACGTGACGGCTGATATTACCCCATTGACAGCGATTATGAATTTCAATATAAGTTTAATTGTTTGTATGGCAAGAATTATAAGTCAAAAATGATAAAAAAAATCTTGACTAAACCGATTTTCACGCAAGTGTTTGCTTTTTCTTTTAAACACTAAATAAAGATTTACGATGAACTATTTGCCTAGCCTCCCAATATTTCCCCTATTTTATAATTATTCTTAAAAGCCGTTATATGTCAACCCAAAATCTATTTGTCAAATAATTTTTACTGCAAATGACAGATGTTTATGTTCATTTCGCAAGTTTGTTTTTGAATTTTGGAATAATCCAGAGGCAAAACTAGTAAAATGGTCATTAAATGTATTGTGCGCGGTTGTAAAAGTGAATGGCATCCAGGTTGTAATATTATATTTCATTCGTAAGTACAAAACACCATGCAAATACTGCGCGTCATGTGAAATTGTTTAGTGATATTTCGACTTTAATTTCTCTTATTTCTGGATAGAAATTGTTATTTTGGTTTAGATGTTAACTATGGTTCGGTATTTTCAATGTCACTTCATTATTTGCTTACTAATTAACGTTTCGTGTTTGTATTATAACTACGACTAGGGTGACCATACATTGTGAATGTATTTTCATTTTAATTAGAAACGGAAAAGGTTTTCTCGAATGGTACTCTGCTCGATTTGCATGAAATTTCGAAACGTTGTTTAAAAGCAAAGATTTGTAACCTCCATTTCAAATCAACCGATTACATGATTACGGAGAAACGACTGAGACAAGGAGTCACACCGTTTTTATATGAAATAGCAGATTGTTCTCTGGTACAGGTACGAACTTTTTGTTAGGTACTTGTTATTTCGTATTTCCATGCGATGTTTTGTTTCCAAGGGAAGAAAAGTAATTTAAAATTACAAAATTTTTCTCATGATAATTTTTTTGAGAAAAAAATAAAAATGCATTCTGTTACCTAGAAAATTGGAACAGCTTATGTTATAACACTCGGCTATAATTTTTAAAAATATTTAAAAGCTATTTTTGTACAATATTTTTCTAATTTTTTAATTGTATTAAATTTTTTTAAATGAAAATTTACACATATTTACTCAAATATATGGTCTCAGGAAATTAATTTTTTTGATAATTTTGTTACACCTCTATAATTGCTATCGTTAGAAATAAATGTTCAGATATAATGTCACCTACAATTTTGGTTTTAATGTATTTGAATGTAGTTCTAATTTACTTCCTATGATTTTTATATTTTTGTTTATCAAATTTATATTGTTAATTTCAGACACAAGTAAACAAAGAAAATCAACCATTAGATTTATCTGATACGGTTCAGGGTGATGAAGATTTGAATATTTTAATAAAAGTATGTATATTTTTAAAGTGACGATGAGAAGACACCTTCGCAGGTTTAATTTAATACTTACTTAATTATACTCGTATTTGCAGTCAAATGAAAAATATGCAACTAGCGCAGTTTCTAAGCGAACCTGGGAAACTATGTTAGACGTGCCATCCTGCAGTTATGTAAGTGCTCTTTTAATTTACATAATTAGCCATCAACGTCTTTAATTTTTTATAATAAATATGTATGTTAGTCAATAAGGTATTTATCTATAGGCCTCTATTTACGTTAATTAACATCATGTAATGTAAATATTGCCTGAAATAAATTATTATTATTATTATTAAATGGTTATCTTAATGTGTAATTGTAATTGCTCGTATAAGGGAGCGTTGATAAAATAGAGCGGGTTTGCTGGCGGGATGTTAACTGGAGAGCATACAGTAGCAGTTAGATGAGCAATAAATAACACTTCTTGAGAGTTTCTTCTTATTTTATTTCTTGATTCCTTATTATTACATTGCCGGATTTGGAATGTTTTACCACAAAAAAAAAACGCCCCTTTTTTTATAAGCGGCTGTAACCAATCATAATTAAGAAAAAATCGCACACGGCATTAGTGAATCTATTGACCAATCAGAGCACAGAATAACCCTTTCTAAGAGAGATTTACAATTTCCTTAATAAACGTGGTAAAACATACCTTACAACATTTATATTTATTCCTAACGATAGATACAACTTATTTCTATTATTCTAAACCTAAATTATTTAATAAACCTTTATTTTACACTTATAAAAAATAAAAATAGCTTCGCGGTCGCTTCACGGTTTAGCTCCGGAGTAGGATAGTATTTTTTTGCCGAACATACAAGTAGCGCCGCCAAGAGGTAGGAATGTACAACACTTTTTCAGGAATAATGCTTAAGAATCTATACAATATTTTTCATGAAATTTAAATCTTTCTCATAATGAAATAACATTATATAGTGATTAATTGACATATTAATGTTTCTTTTGAATTACTTTAAAGGAAAAAGAATTATATTAATCACCTATATGTTAATAGCTCTTAAAGTTATGATAAAAGAAATCTTACTAGAAAATAAGCTTATACTTGCGTCTAATGTTCTAATCAGACCTAAATAATATTAAATAGATTCATATAAGTTACTTTAAGATAAGAATAGAAGTGTTTAATTTACTTTCCTGTTTTCAGCACTGATCAGTCTTTACACTTAGCTTTATTTTACGAATAGGAAACAATTAAGATTAAATACTATCACTTAGTTTTAAATCACTGATAAGGAATAATTAAGATTAAATGTTCGAATTCACTTTGTCGTCGCTAACAGTAATAAACATATTGTTATTCAGTGTTGGAAAATCATATATTCGTGTCTTTTCAGGAATCTTGGCCGCTGCGTGATGCTACTAAAGAATATATATATATATTCCTTCTTTGTAAAAAACCACGGTATTTACTTCGAGACATTTTGGAAACGGAAAGGGAAAATATGAACATCGATGATATTATAACATCCGAAATAGTAATGACATTTTAATTTCCTCAGCATACTTTGTTGGTCTATTAAATTGTTAACTACAAGGTCTAAATTTTTCAGTTTTTAATTTTTTTAAGTTGAATTGTGATTTTAGTTCTGACTATAGCATTTTCACAACTAATTAGTCCCTTATAAAAATAATCGTTTTAACAGCTTTTTACTCTTTTAGATCACGGACAAAAGCACTTCTCCCATACAAATCTATTGCACTGATAAAAGTGTGCAAGCGAGGATTAAATCATCACGAGAAGAAGAGCTAATGATAAGAAACAAATCATTAGTTCAAAAAGTATTTCAGCTCAACAAAACTGTTAATAATTTGAAATCTTTAATAAAAATTGTAAAATCATATACAGAGAACAGTGAGATAGAAAATATTATTTCAGGAAATTTTGCTAATATATGTAAAGAATTAAAAAAAAACCACAAGGTGTGAGGTATAGCGATGAAGTGAAATCCTTCGCTTTAACATTACATTTTTATTCGTCAAAAGCGTACGAGTTTATTAAACAATACGCAACTTTGCCACACGTCGAGACCTTAAGACGTTCATTGGCCTCTTTTAATTGCAATGTGGGGCTTATGTCCGAAGTTCTAGAATATTTGAAGCAACAAGTACAAATACCCGAAAAAAGTTATTTAAAAAATGTTGCCTTAATATTTGATGGGATGGCATTAAAACAAGATTTATGCTGTGATCAAAAACTTGATAAAGTTTTCGGCTATGTTGATCTCAGTAAAATCGTCGTAAGCGATCCGGAAGAAATAGCTACTGAAGCTTTAGTCTTTCAAATCGTGTCCTACACTACATACTTCAAGTGCCCGATAGCTTATTTTTTTATTAAAAATAGTTAGCATGGTGAACTTTTAGCATAATTATTAAATACTACTGTGTTGTTGCTTAACGAAATTGGAATCACAGTCCGCTCAATGACATGCGATGGCGTTCCATCGAATATACGAGCGTACCAATTTTTAGGCTGTTGTCTAGAACAAGAAAATTTTCAGCCATATTTTCTACACCCAAATGGTAGCGACAAAATTTATTGTTTTTTGGATGCCGCACACATGTTGAAACTGGCAAGTAATGTTCTAGCAGAACATGAAATATTATCATCAAGTGGGACCACATCGTAAGCCTTTATTCGTAGTTTACGTACGGTACAAAGAGAAGATGGCTTAAAATTTGTTAACAAATTATCATCTACCCACGTAGAATACGAAAATAAAAAAATGAATGTCAAACTTGCGGCCCAAGTTTTGAATTCATCGGTGGCTGAGTCCATCGAGTTTTTAAGACTTAGTAGAAATCCGCTTTTTTTGGGGAGTGAAGCCACGGTTGAGTTTTTAAAAATGATAGATAGGATATTTGATTTTATGAATTCCAAATCGCCTTTTGGACGTGGTTTCAAAAGTCCTATGAAAATTGAAAACAAAAAATATTGGGAACTGATTTTGCAACAGACAAAAGAATATTTAAAATCATTGAGTACCAATGGAAAAAGTATTTTACACTACGGGCGCAAAACATTTGCTAGGTTTTTTAATGAACATTGAAAATTTTCCGTTACTTTTTGCCGATTTATTAAACGTCATTCCTCCCATTAAATATCTTTTAACATTTAAGTGTTCAGGATAATTTAGAAACATATTTTTCTTGTATTAGAGCCCGGGGTCGAACAAATGATAACCCCAGCCCTTTTGAATTCCGACATGGATTAAGAAAATTATATCGAAACTCTGTACAACCCTCAATTAATGGAAATTGCATTGATCATACATACGACGCAACATGTATTTGAATTCGGCACTAAACAATCATGTCTAGTAGAACCGATCTCAAATACTGATAATACAGATACTGATGATAAAATCCAAAACCACTTGCAGGCTTTAGAATCACAAAATACCCATACGGATTATCAAAAATATATTCTTTATTATATTACGGGATATATAATAAGAAATATTGTCAAACGGCTGAAATGTAATGAATGTAAAAATTTGCTAATTGCTGCAGATCATTCACAAACCGATCATTTATACGTTTTAAATGCAAATAAATATCAATCCTTTACAATATTTGTAAATCGAGGTAAATTGCATTTTCCATCCGCAGAGGTGTACAAAATTGTCCTTTTTGCGGATAAAATATTTAAAAGAGCATCAAATATGAATAATCTGGGTCAACCTAACATTAAAAATGTATTAATCAATATCATTATTCAACACTTCACACCACAGTTGCGAGAAATGTTTTATCATCCTATGGATGACAGTATAAATTGCTCTGAATTTCATGAATTTAGAATTTTACAATTAATTTCAAACTCTTTTTTGACCATGCGTCTCAGAACGCATCTAAAAAATTGTATGGACCAAAAGTTGAGTGTAGTTCGTACCAAGCGCCAAAAACTTCACAAAACTAACCTTGGCTTCTAATTATTATTATTGTATCTTTCAATTTTGTAGAAACTATTGCTATTGTAATAATAAATGTAAATAAAAACGATTGTTATTTTAATTTTATTATTTCCTTATGTTATTTTATAAGGTCGTCACTCCATCTAGTGAGGGGTCGCCCTACACTTCGCCTACCGATACGAGGCTGCCACTCGAGAACCTTTCTTCCCCATCGAATTAATTAACGATGTTTTATAAAATATAATTAATTAAATTATACTAGTAAATTATACACTAGATGAAGTGACGACCTGGTAAGACATGCAGGAAGTTGATGGATGCAGGTGGCTCAGGACCGTGCTTTGTGACATTCCTTGGGGGAGGCGTATGAGTGCAGTGAACTTACGAAAGGCTGTAATGATGATAATGATGATGATTTTATAAGGGATGTAAAGACAGCCTCCCGAAAACTTTAACCATAAACTCATCATGACAGTCATCCTGAGAAAGCTACTGAAGGAATATAAAACTTATTAAAAATGATGTCCATTTATAAATTAAAATTTTATAAATGAATATAATTTTTAATAAATTTATATCTATATAAATTTATTGTATTTAGTTACTTAAGTCACCTGCCACTAATTTCTCACCACGCCATGGGTTGACTGGCAAAGAATGCTAACTGGCATTAAGTCCGCCCTTTGTAACCTTTTTTGTTGGTTTGAACAATAAAGTTTTTTAAATAAAAATAATGAACATAAACTTTTTTTATAATATCCCAAATTCTTGTATTTTGTGTTCACCCTAATTAGAAAGAGACTGGGGGTTATGAAAAATTTCAAGGTCGTTTTCTTGTATTTTTTTATGTCATTCGAGAGTGCGGGTTCCAGTTTGTACGAAGTACATGTATTTCCATGGTTGTCAGTATAGAGTGTAGAAGTAAGGAGTACAGCTGTGTATTAAAAAGTGTCCATAAAAACCTTTTAATAAGGGTGGCGAAAATTATGGGATTTCATAAAAAACCTATGCTTAAGTACTAAATTTTTTTATTCATCGTCATCAGATATATCATCACTGTCACTGTCAGTAACATTTATTATAAACATGTCTGAGACGCTATCGACCGTAGACAAATCTATAGACTAATGATTAGCGTGGCCTCGAGTGAGAAAGGAAGATAACGTAGTTTTAGGTTATACAATATATCTTTAAAACTTTTAAACATATTTGGATAAAAAATTTAATTGTTCTAAGAACTGAACTGAACAAGATTCACCAATCTTAAGGTCACAACTCAACTCAACACTTTTTTTCTCACTTAAACCAACTTGTAAACTCCTTAAATCGCTATGAACTGTCAAAGTTGTTTAGCAAAGTGTAGTTTGCTAAACAAAAAAACCGACACGGAGAAACGGATAAACAATCACAATGCTCTGTCTCATTTCTATGCAAGACGTATGCATAAAGCTATCTTTTTCGTGTGCAAATGCGAAAGAAGGCGTCAATTTATCTATAGGTTTCTCTGTCTACGCTATCGACCATGTGGTCGAGATTAAACATTTTGTCTTCTTCTTTTATCATGTGAGCCACGCAGCTACTACATTTTTCGGCAGTCACTTCATTTAGTCCTTCTTCGAAAAGTTTTTTTACATCTTTCATTTTTATTTCTTGCAATATACCTTTTGGCCTGAGCCCAAATCAGCTCAATTGGATTGAGCTCACGATGGTAAGGGGGAAAACGTAAAACAGTCCACGCTCTGCTGCCATCACGTCCACGGCATACTTGTGTCACAGCGTTCATGTTTGTGCTGCCGTACAATGTCTATAAGAGTAGCTTTTACCATTTGTGCTCGAATGGGGTATTTTTGCTCGTAATCCACTCTTGTATTCTTGGTTTATTTCAAGACATTGTCGGCAGCGATTCCAACTTTCTGGAATGATAGGGGGCATTATCCATCACCAGTACGGAATTAGGTTTTAGTTTGGGCAAAACCCCACTAAACCACTCCTCACAGCACTCAGCATTCATCTCTTGACGGTAATCTTCTTTTCCTTTTTTAGCTTCAAACACAAGTAAGCTATCTTCTACAGATCCTTCTTCCCCGTCTATTTGGCTAATAATTAGCCGTTTGCCTTTTCCTGAATCGGTGGTCAACCCTTCTAAGAATGCCTGCCGGAACGATTGTACAGTCTGGTCAATCCGTTGCTTCTTCGGTGTATGACCTTCGAGAAAATGAAAATACCAATTACTCATTAAATTCAACGGTTGCATGCACAACCTACACTGTAATAGATAAATAAAACAGAGAAAATTTTAATTACCTTCGAAGATCCAGGTTTAATCTTGGTAATAATTGTACCTTCCTTCCCTGCGATAATCTTTAATTTTTTGAAGGTATCGCTGGCGCCACAAAGCAATATCGCGTATATCTATTAGCACGCTTTTTCTTGATTTTGTGGCGTATTTGAAATTTAAGTGTTTTAAAAACTTTCCTCAAGGTACTCCAAGAGAAGTTCGGTAAATCTGGGTCATCATTAACAATCTTAAGAATCTGTAATTTAAACAGATTTTATGTAAGAAAGTCTACACAATAGAGAAAAGGCAAATGGAATCACAAAAAAACGCTAGTGGGCGTGTAAATATGCAGCTATGATTTGTGTGATAGTGACGCGACGGTCGTCGTCACGCACACTGTATCTTTAACAAGCTTTACGCACACATAGCGCCGTGCGCAAAGATGTAAAAAAATAACACTAAAATCACCTTTGCAATGGTGGGTGCCTAATTTGCATAAAAAATTGGTGTACTTTTCGCCTTATAGCCGCTAAGGTGAAATCGTCTAATTTATTCTTGAAATCATGTTTCGGTCCAAGTTTTTCAGGACACTTAAATTGTTCGTTTTGTTTGTATTCTTTTAAAACACTGAAAACTTTGATCATGCCAATTCCAAAAATTTCAGCTGTCATAGAAACACATTTTTTCTCCGTATTGAGGTAGGTAATACCGAAGCAATTTCCTGCTGACATACG